CACTAACGTGACGTTTAGGCGGTTCGTTTACCTATTGAACGTGATGTAGGTTTTTTTGGGGGGTGGTTAATTAAAGTGTTCCAAAACGCGACATTAATTTCTTGACGACCTAATATATTTCTTCGACTTCGTACACAAGATAGATGCTTTAAGGGTATTAATATATAAAAGGTTGAGCTAGTTGTATTAAAATGATTTTGAATATGCAAATCAGAAAGTCACACGACAACACAGCCAATATAAAGTCATGATGGAACAGAAAGTATTAGAACTACATTTTTACAAATAGTAAGTTGTCACTGAAAATGTATTCCTTTTTTGGAAGTGGATGTAACAGCCATTCTCAATATCAAATATTCATACACTCGTATCATAACTATGTGTTCAAACTGAAGAAATAAAATTTCCATAACAGGGATATCCCTTATAGTTAATGACATTGGAAAACGTGGTGCACCAGGACCATTCAGAAAGAGACCTGCAATAAGTCTTACCCGAGCTATGGTTAGCTGAGTTCGGGATCATGTAACAGATGAGAATCCAGAACCCAGAGATCAGTGGAAAAACCATTCACATGTCCCAGACAGGAGTACGGAGCATAACCACGAAAAATTTCCATCTGGAAAAGGAACAAGTTGTGTACTCAAGTTTCTTTGACAACGTATCCAAGAATGGGAGACCAACTGTATGAATGTTATCTAGCCAGGGGAAAATGTCAGTACCTGGTGATACTCGACGAAATGTATGTGTACCTTGATAACTGTAACAAGTCTTGTGCAATTTGGTATAGCTCAGCAAATGATAAAAAGAATTACAAAAGTGATACAAGGTATACGATAAAGCTTCATCACAATGATTTATTATCAATGGATACTGCACCAAGGGCAATTTAAAAATTAGGTGAGGTCTGCTTACTACCACACCAATATTCTTGATCCCTAGCGCTACATGGAAATACCACTTTCATATGGAAACAAGGCAAACAGGATAGGTGTTCACTAAGATAAGGCCATACAGAAACTACACTGTTAAGCTAGTTTGTAGATGCATGATCATCTGATAAAACATAGCCGGATGTGGTGACATGAACCATAACGACGTGGTGAGGCTCCAAATAATTTTAATACAGTGTATTCAACTCTCGGTAAAAATTCATGATAGTATGAATCACTAGGATAAAAAATGTTGGCAAATCACACTAAATCACAATACATGGCTAAATCTTCAAACAAAGAAACTAAAGTAAAACTCTACCTTCATGCACGAAACATCTACAAGAAGCATGTGTAGTTCACAAATCCCTAATGAAATAATTCAACAAGATATACCTAAATATTACAACAAATAATTCGCAATGCTATGTAATTCTGAACTAATGAAACACACTTTGTCAAACTGTTGAATGATACTTTGTTTCCTAATTGGACATCCTACTTCAGATGTTAATATGGCTATAAATGTATGTTCAAATAATGTAATGTACAGTGTCATTAGGCAGACAAATGAAAACATTATCCAATTTACAATGATTACACGAGCACACGACTAGTCATTTTTATTATAACTCTATTATTTACCTACAATATACGAGATAAATGGAGAAAGCCTCAAAATGATTATTGTTTATTCTATTAATACATGTAATGATCTGCCTTTAGACACCTAGCTTTCAGGATTTATATTCCCTATAACATACACACATACACGTCGGATAACAGTTATTAAAGCTCTGTGAAGTATTCTTAGCTGTAGCAGAAAGGACAGGGCTATAAAGTACAAGTTTATTATATTCTACATACATATATTAAAGGGGATCTATAATGTTTGACAGATTGGCGAAAGCCTGCGAGTGACTTGTTACCTAATGTACCATTTACAGTCTCAGAAATAACAATTTCCGTTCTGAAACATAGCTACATACCATTCACCACTCATTTGTAAGCACGTGGTTTCATCGCCAAAATTACTTATTTTACGACTTTCCTTATTAATGCTTACAGCTAAAGCGGAGTTCGATAGGAAACGACTCAATATTGCCTTAGAGAACAAAACAAAACTGAGTTTTGTATAAAACCAGATGTGGTAAAACATGTAAAACGGGCATCAGAGCACGTGTTTCCTCGCGTGATACTACAATCTGCACTTCAGGTGAAAAGATTCAGAGACACATAACCGCCACCATGCACGCCGTATTTTCACTGAAGCATCTAAGTGTGCACTTAACACGTTCTCAGTAAGAAAAGAACTGATGCACGACAAATCTGCTCAAACGGAAGGGAAGGAAGAAGTTTGCAGAACGCACTGCTTCTTTATGGTAACTGATTATCTTGCTTTACAGAAGGTAATAAACCCGAAACTACTGGCGTTGACGAACATCACTAGAGTTAATTACAAATTCGTTTAAGTACACACTATGATGAGATGTCGCAATTTTATGGAAAACATTTTTTTTTAATTTATGGGGTACCCATAATAATTACTCAAACGTTTATTATTTTCATTAGTCTCAAGGACAGTAAATCTGCAGACACGTTTTGCGCCTAAACGTAATGGCCGCCAATTCTGTAAGGATACAAGAGTTTTAATTTCATCATCTTTGAACGAAAGCCAAATTGAATGAAGTATGGAATTACACAGAGGAGCTGTTCGATCAGTAAAGCTTCGTCTAATCTAATTACTGATAAGTCTATAAACGCCATGTTTAAGGCCATATACACGCCTGCTTTACCAATTAATCCTAATAATCTTTACCAAGTTATCAAACCCAGAACGTTCTACCATCTGGATCATAGTTTAAGTAACTACAGTTACTCCATAAGAACAAATTAATTTATAATACTT